TCAGATTCATGTCCATTGAGTCAGTGATGCTAACCATCTCATTCTCTGCCACCCTCTTCTCCTTTTGCTTCCAATCTTTCCCAGTATCAGGGGCTTTTCCAGGGGGTCAGCTTTTCACACCAGGTAGCCAAAGTATTGGAGGTTCAGCTTTAGCACCAATCCTTCCAATGAATATACAGGGTTGATTTCCTTTAGGATTGATGGGTTTGATCTTGCTGTCCCAGGGACTCTCAAGAGTCTTCTCCAGCACCACAGTTCGAAAACATCAGTTCTTTAGTGCTCTGCCTTCTTTATGGTCCAGTTCTCACATCCATACATGACTACTGGAAAAACCATAGCTTTGACTAGACAGACCTTTGTCAGCAAAGTGATGTCTCTGTCTAGGTTTGTCAGAGCTTTCCTTCCAAGGAGAAAGTGTCTTTTAATTTCATGACTGCAGTCACCATTTGCAGTGATTTTGGAGCCCAAGAAAATAAAATCTGTTGCTGCTTCCACGTTTCCCCCTGTATCCCCTCGCATGAAGTGATGGAATTGGATAAGAACACCTGCCAAAACTTTGTCTGCTTACAATACCTGGATATTGGGATGCTGACAGTTCAAGTTCATAAGTTGCAAGTACAAGCTGGTTCTCCTGAGCATCAGTGGCCTAGGCCACCTCTTCACTTGGCTGGCTGGCAGGCTTTCAGCCTTCTATTGATCAAAGCAGAATTTGGGGTTCTTTCCTCACCCTCACATCCCTTCTGGCCCTCACCAAATGGCCAAAAAGCCCACAGCGACCTGTGAAGCCTGACTTAGCGTTCTCAGCACAGCTGGAATCCGAGCGCCGTGGCCCCTCCCCGTGGCAGCAGTGGCCTGATGGACAGCTTCCTACCCCTTCCTTTCTCGCCTGAGCTTATTCTCCTTTAGTAGCTTCACTGCAAGTACAATAAAATTTGTAGCCTTTACCATGACCTGCAGAGCTCCTTTGCAATCTGGCCCCGCCCACCTCGCTGACTTTATCTCCTACTTTGCTCACCAGCCACCCTGCTTTTCCTTAAATGTGCTGTGTTTGTCCTCATCTCTGGGACTCTGTATGACCTGTAATCCTGGTCAGGAAGCCTCACCCCGGATCTTCACACCACCGCGGCCTGTAACTCAGACGTCTCCGCCTTAGCAAGGATTGCCTTGTCCCTCTACCACCACTGTCGCCATTCTTTTCTTCTTAGAGCTCATTGCTGTTAGAAATCTTATTGTTTATGTACTTCCATGTTTTTCCTGTAGTCATGTGTGGATGTGAGATTTGAACCCTAAAGAAGGCTGAGTGCCGAAGAATTGCTGCTTTTGAACTGTGGTGTTGGAGAAGACTCTTGAGAGTGAGTCCCTTGGACTGCAAAGAGATCAAACCAGTCTATCCCAAAGGAAATCAACCCAATATTCATTGGAAGGACTGATGCTGAAGATGAAACTCCAATACTTGGGCCACCTGACATGAAGAGCTGACTCATTGGAAAAGACCCTGAGGCTGGGAAAGATTGGAGGCAGAGGCAGAAGAGGACAGCAGCGGATGAGGTGGTGAGATAGCATCACTGGCTCAAAGGACATGGATCTGAGCAAACTCCAGGAGACAGTGGAGGACAGAGGAGCCTGGTAGGTTGCAGCCCGTGGGGTCACAAAGAGTTGGACACGACTTAGCGACTGAACAATAACGTGTTCATTGTTGGTCTCTATTAACTAGACCATATGACAGCAGGATCTATGTGGTCTCTAATGATAAAAATATTAGCCTAGGCAAAGAATTTGAACATCATCAAAGAGGAGACTCGCCTTTATAACCAGCTAGAGAATACGGGTCACATGCTCCAACTAAGTCGGTTTGGGAGCCAAGATACATAGAGTCCTCTGGAGGAGGTGATGGTGTTCAGGAAAACTTAAGACAGCTTAAAACAAAAGGGTGGCATCTTTAAAATCTTTGTTCATTTAAAGAAAGAGGGCAAGAGCTGGAAGGACCATGGCAACTACACACCAGGCGGGCACATGGCCTGGAGCCAGAGGATGCAGCTTGGAAAAGCAGGGATCCCCGTGGATATTCGATAAAAGTTGAGCTTTGAGCATCAGCTCAGGAGCTGTGTGACCGAGCCCAACCTGAGATAACTGCCAGTTCAGATCTACCCAGGCAGGGATGTCCCTGTTGGTCCAATGGCTAAGGCTCTGCACTCGCCGTGAAGGGGGCCTGGGTTGGAGCCCTAGTCAGGGAACTAGACCTTCTATGTGGCAGTGAAGAGCCAGGCAGCTCTTCCTAGCATCCTTTTCTTACTGCATGTAGCTTAACTACGCAGAGGCTATCATCATTGATTTTATCTTTTTCTCTAGGCTCTCTCCTCACATAAAAGATTCCTACCACATAATTTTTCCCAATATGTACTTTTAATGTAATGGGTTGAAAGGTTTGTGTTGAATGGAGACTCACAGAACAAATATACAATATAAGCTAACTAGAAGGTCTATTTTGTGTTTTTATGGATGTTCATAGAGGCTTATACTTTAGTTTTGCTTTTCCATCTTTGAGAACCAGAAAATCCAGTTTCTCTAGACCAAGACTGTCCCTAAAGATGCAATTTGTCTATAAACTAATTACATTAAGAAAGTTTCAACTTAGCTTTCGTTATCTATAAAATCACAGAGTAAAAGTCTTCCAGCATCTTTTATTTTCATGTAGCAGACTTAGAGCACATTCTTTTAGTTTGTTATATAAATGCTTTTGTTTATCCTACAGCTTGTACAGAGGACCTTTAAAGAAATGAATGACCTCAAAAATTGTAAATAATGCATGTAATTTAGGTAGGTAAAGATAGAAGAAGCAGATGCCATATGGTAATAATTTTGAATTGAAATACAGACCTGCTGAAGACTTGCTCGCTTTTGTTGAGTGAGTGAGAGAAAGGGAGTGGAAGAAAGTGAGAGAGGAAAATGGAGGGAAGAAGCAATATATGTGTTTTACAAAGAAAATGCCTTTAGAAATGGCTCAGTGGTGTTCTGCGGGCTGACTTCTATTTCCTGGTGCCTCCAGCAGGTGGGGAAAAGCGTATCCCTCCACATGGGCTTCTGGGATAAAACGTCCCCGGAGCATTTGCTTCCTGTCTCATCATGGACAGTGCCTGCTTCACCTGCTAATCTATACCTCGCAGGACGAGCGAGAGACCCAGCTAATAAAACACAAACATAAAGCACTTGGCAATAAAGACACAAGCAGATGTGGAGAGGCTCGTGGCTCTGTTCTGTACATGGAGCCTTTGTGCATGGAATGACAGGGTGACTCAAATGTTAAGACACTTTTTTTTTTATTTTGGCTTTCACAAACTGGAAGTTGTTTTGCCAGCTGGCTTGCTGGAGTGAGTTTTTCCTAACTCAATCACAGGCCACTTGATTCAAAGCCTTCCTTCTAATTCTGAGGTCAGGCCACTCCTCACGAAGTCATGCAAGGACTACTTAAGAGTTCACACCTGCTTATTTAAAGGGGAAGAGCAACGTGCTTGTGTTAAACATCAGCGACAGAAAGAAACGGGTCACGTGGGGATAGACAGCCTCCCATCATGACGGAATAGGAATAACTAGTGGCCATTCGGTAGTTTTCTTTTTCCTGCCTTTTACTGTTTACTTGTTTGTCTACTTGGCTGTGTTGCGCCTTAGTTGTGGCATGTGGGATCTTCATTGCATCACTTAGGATCTCTTGTGTCTTGCAGGCTTCCTCATCCCGAGGCATGTGGGATCTTAGTTCCCTGACCAGGGGCCGAACCCACTTCCCTGGATTGGAAAGCTGATTCTTTACCCCTGAACCATCAGGGAAGTCCCTTGGTAGTTTTCTTAAGTAACCATGGCGAGGACACGGTACAGTTACCCTTCACAGCGCACAGACTAATGCCCTAGGTTCCTGGTCTGCAGTTCAACACAGACGGAGTGAAGGGAGGTCCAAGAGGTGCTTGTGCAGCGACAGACAGAGAAATCAGCCTCCACGGGTGCAGGGCCTGAAGATGCGGGGCTGAGTCATGGTCCAGAGCCCTCCTGCATTCCTGCCCTGCTCAGCCATCCTGATCGGCAAGCTCCAGAGTGCAGGAAGGCTGATGAAATTGTGCACAGTGAATGAGGAAAGGCGGGCAAGACTGAGTCCTCTCTACAAAGCACGCAAATCCCCACCAAACCAGGAAGACCTTGATCAGTTTCATGGAGCTTCCATCCACAGTTCCTTCCTTCCCAGGGAAGATTACGAGCTGAGGTTGTCTTGGCAGATACTTACCTGTGTCTCGGATCTGTGACATCAGAAAAATCAGCAGAGAGATAAGACGATGACCAGGAGACCTCTCAGTCCTTGTTGATTTGCATCTTCTTATTTGCACCAGTAAGGAAGTGGAGAACAGTCCAACATTCAGGAGTTTAGAATCTGTGTGTCCCACTTCAGGGACCTTCTGCTGCACCTTTTCAGCTGTATTTAACTGAGTTCTGTTTGCTGGTGTTCTTTTTCTCCTTAGAAAACGCAGTGTCCTTCTTCTCCCTAGAGTCGCTCAGAGCTGAGTGCATGTCATGTTTGCCTCGTCACTGTTTTCGTGAAGAACTTGCTGCACAGGAATCTGGTGGAAGCATCTCTCTGTTTGCATCCGGATGACGGCTGCTTCTAAGGATTACTGACCGCGTTGCACTGGTAACATCACATTAGCCGCTCTTCTGCTTCCTTCCAGTAAATTCCACTGTCATTGTTCATGGGGTGCGATCGCTCAGGCTCCGCAGAGTATCAGGTGGGTGTGAGCAGAGCCGCCAACAACGCAGATGTCTTTATTTCTGTGGAGTGTCTGGTGGGCGGGGTTAGCAGTGTTTCCCACGCACTGCCACAGGGTTACACAAACACCGCTCTGCTTCTTGCAAGCCAGAGTCACCAAGAAAGCTTGTCTTCTCTGTTTCCCATCCGTCGCTGATAACTCTGCTCCGAATATTCTTTTTTCTTAACTGCAAGGACGATTTAAAATTCTCCCATGTCTGGCAAATCAAGGGACAAAGGTAAAAGTGAGCTAGCTGAAAGTGGTCAGAGGTAAGAGAGTGTGACTTTATAATTTTGGGCAAATCATCTGAAACGGGGTGGTGGGGGGAAGAGAATTTCTTTGCTGTATTATTTTTGAGAATTTCACTAAAAGTCTTTTTCACTACAAGTTTAATAGCAGAAGAAAGAAATATCATTTCCCATTTGAATTTTATAAACATTGGATATTTTATAAACATTTGAATTTTATAAAGATTTGGTAGTAAAGGTGTTAAGAATGATCTGATCCCTTTGTCTCCAAACTGGAAGACAACTTTTGAAGGTGGCTTTCAAATTAATATTGACTGCTAACTTTACAGGCCAAGAGATGTGAAAACAACTCAAGGTAAGAATATGTTCAGGAGAGAGATTGCTCCCAAATCTCATCTACTTTCTCTCTATTTTAAAAGTAGTTCATATATCATTCTGAAAGAGATTTTTACCTTTAGATTCAAATTCATGATATTGGTGCTAAGTATAAAAGGAATAACATACTTAAAGAATATTCTTTTTAACAATGTTATCTCAGTTGGTATTAAGAGGTAGGTCCTACTAAAATATTTTCAAGAAAGTTTTCTAAAGACTTCAAGAAATTTGACTTGTTATATACTTTATATAAAAGGATTTTTCTTCCATAATAAATGAAGGCGGTCATACTATTAATGAAGTCTCACCACGAAGAATATTAGGAGACAGTGCGGCATGCACTCTTAGGGAATGCCTCACTTGGATCTCATGTTCTCATGAGAGGGTTGTGTCTAAAAGTTCATTTCTAAGTTGACTGTCTGGAACTGAAAACCTTGAAATAAAATGAAGCTCATGGTCCATTTGAGTCTAGCAAAGTTGTTTTAAACTCAAAGCAATATTAAGGTGTTATTTAAGAAATTCCATTCTAGAGCTGCCAATATGTTCCTCTTTCCAGACTCCACAGGGGATGGAGCTGTCAGGGCAAGATATTCCGGTTATCAGTGTCTCTTCATTTATGCCTAAGGCCTATTTCTTCATGGATACATTGTGTAAATGGATGGGGGTTAGGAGGCCAGGGATTACCTTTATGGATATCATAGTATTGGGTTTTTCAAGAAGGTTGTTTGGGTTTTCTCATAAGATCTTATGGAAAAACTCAAGTGAGATTTTTGGCCAACCCAATACAATGGAAACAGTGACAGACTTAATTTTGGGGGCTCCAAAATCATTGCAGATGGTGACTGCAACCATGAAATTAAAAGATGCTTGCTCCTTGCAAGAAAAGTTATGACCAACCTAGACAGCATATTAAAAAGCAGAAACATTACTTTGCCAACAAAGGTCCATCTAGTCAAGGCTATGGTTTTTCCAGTGGTCATGTATGGATGTGAGAGTTGGACTGTAAAGAAAGCTGAGTGCCAAAGAATTGATGCTTTTGAACTGTGGTGCTGGAGAAGACTCTGACAGTCCCTTGGACTGCAAGGAGATACAACCAGTCCATCCTAAAGGAAATCAGTCCTGAATATTCATTGGAAGGACTGATGCTGAAGCTGAAACTCCAATACTTTGGTCACTTGATGTGAAGAACTGACTCATAGGAAAAGACCCTGATTCTGGGAAAGATTGAAGGCAGGAAGAGAAGGTGATGACAGAGGATGGGATGGTTGGATGCCATCACCAACACAATGGACATGAGTTTGGGTAAGCTCTGAGAGTTGATGATGGACAGGGAGGCCTGGTGTGCTGCAGTCCATGCGGTCGTAGAGTCAGACACGACTGAGCGACTGAACTGAACTGAATATATTTTGAAGCAGGAGACTAGTCTCACTAAATGCCCTGAGCTTTGATTTCTCCGTAACATTGCTGTGTAAGGGTGTATAAGTTAGAGGCTATTTGGGTATGACGTGAGGAAGGTAGACATTATCGTTCTTGCTCAGTCACTTAGGTATGTACGACTCTTCTGTGACCCCATGGACTGTAGCCCCCTAGGCTCTTCTGTCCATGAAATTCTCCAGGCAAGAATTCTGGAGTGGGTTGCCATCTCTTCTCTAGGGGATCTTCCCATCCCAGGGGCTGAACCCAGGTCTCCTGCATTGGCAGGAAGATTGTTTACCACTGAGCTACCTGGGAAACCTAGACATTATTAGGTGGATCAAAAGTTATTAGCCCACTTTTATAGTATAGTCAAAACTAGTCAATCATGATGTCTAGTCAAAATTTCTCCTGAAATTAATTACAAATTCAGAATTACATGCTTTGAAAAATTTTAAAGGCACTCCTGGGCAGTCAAGAAAGCAAGCAGTACTTGGTGATGGTATAACATGGGGACAGGAACCAGTAAAGTAGTCACCAGAGGCACTTTCCATATGGAGGGGGTTTGTTAAACTGGTTGAGCTTGAGCATCTGTTACTCCTCTTCCTTATGTGGGAAATCTAATAGGATGCCCCTCAGAACCTGGCTATAAAGAAAGCTGAGTGCTGAAGAATTGATGCTTCCGAATTGTGGTGTTGGAGATGACTCTTGAGAGTCCCTTGGACTGCAATGAGATCCAACCAGTCCATCCTAAAGGAAATCAGTCCTGAATATTCACTGGAGGGACTGATGCTGAAGCTGAAACTCCAATAATTTGGCCAACTGATGCGAAGAACTGACTCCTTGGAAAAGATCCTGATGCTGGGAAAGATTGAAGGCGGGAGGAGAAGGGGACGACAGAGGATGAGATGGTTGGATGGCATCACCAATTCAATGGACATGAGTTTGGGGAAACTCTGAGAGTTGGTGATGGACAGGGAGGCCTGGTATGCTGCAGTCCATGGGGTCACAAAGAGTCAGACACTACTGAGCGACTGAAGTGAACTGAACTGAACAGAACCTGGCATTCCAAAGGGATTCAAGGAAAACTGATTGTCTTAAACTCTGGAGCAGAGTTAATCCTCCTGGAGTATTTGTAACCAAAAGCCAGATCCCACAAGGGTGGTCTGAAAAGTTCCAACATCTACCAGCAATAAATGAACACCCTCTCCAGAGAACTCAACTTCCTTCCAACTTTCACAAAATTTCCATGTCTAAAGTTCCAAGGAACAAAAGGAAACCACCAAATGTAGAAGCAAAGGGACCATAAGTAAGAGGCAGAAGGAAAATGTCAGATAGTAGAATCAGACCCACAAATGCTTCAGAGATTGGAATGATCAGAAATAGAATTTAAAATATGTTAAATATATTTTAAGAAATTAGGGAAAGGCTTCAACCATGAGTTGAGAAAGCAGATTTTTAAACTTTTATTAATCTTTTTATTTTGTATTGGAGTACAGCCAGTTAACAATGTGGTGATAGTTTCAGGTGAATAGTGATGGGGATTCAGCCATACATATACATGTATCAAGTCTCCCCCAAACTCCCCTTCCATTCAGCTGCCACATAACACTGAACAGAGTTCCTTGTGCTATACGTAGGTCTTAGTTGGTTATACATTTTAAGAGAAAGCAGGTTTAATAATAACCAAACCGAGCTTTAGAAATAAAATACAGAGAAAAAACCTAATGTCTGACTTGAACAGAAGATGAGACAAAGCCACAGAAAGTATTAATGAAAAGGAAGATATTTATAAAGTTATCAAAAATCCAGCCTAGAATGATAAAGAAAAAGAAACTATGAAAGAGATGTTAAGAGAAATGGAAGATAGAAAGAGATATGTGTATCGTCACAGTCCTAGAAGGAAAGAGGAGCCAAGATGATGTTCAGAATTTCCCAGAACTGATGGAATTCACCAGTCCAGCATCAAGAAATGTAGAGTAACCAAGAAGAAGGGATTAAAAAATATCTTCATCTCAGTGCTTCATACAGAATCTAGAAGTCTAAAGACAAATAAAAAATCTTAAAAGTAGATAGAAGAGAGATTACACTTCAAGATTACTTTCAAAGTTCAAATTATAACTGGAGATGTTGGAAGATAGAAGAATGATATTGACATTGTACAGAAATGTCAATTTAGAATTCTTTATCAGTGAAGATGTTTTTTAAGAATGAGGGTAAAATATATATATTCCTCACCCAAACAAAAAACGAGAGACTCGGTCAGTACCTATGGCATGTGTTTTAGGCAGAAGGAAGGCAATCGTAGGTGGGAGATAATAGATGAAAATAAGAAAGAAGTGGGGTCCTGGGGGCCCAGTGGTTAAGATTCCTTGCTTCCAGTGAAGAGGGTGCAGGTTTGATCCCTGGTCGGGGAACTAAGTTCCCACATACTGTGAAAGTGAAAGTGAAAGTCACTCAGTCATGTCCGACTCTTTGCGACCCCATGGACTATAGTCCATGGAATTCTCCAGGCCAGAATACTGGAATGGGTAGCCTTTCCCTTCTCCAGGGGATCTTCCCGACCCAGGGATCGAACCCAGGTCTCCTGCATTGCAGGCAGACTCTTTACCAGCTGAGCCACAAGGGAAGCCCCACATACTGTGTGGCTTGACTAAAACATTAAAAAACAATAATAAAAAGAGCCCCCAAAGTGGTAAACTTCTGGGTAAGTTTAAACAAACATTGACAGTATAAAACAACGTCAGTAATGTATTGTAGTTTTGGAGAATATTTCAAAGGTCCCTGTGTTGTTTGAGAGAAGGTTGATGTATTGATAAATTCTGGGTTTAATCACATAAATCTTCCTGTTAAAATTTCTAGGATAGTCACTCAGTGAATAGGAACAGACTATATAACTTCCAAGCTAGAACAAGGGAGAAATAAAAGCATAAAAGAAAAGTTAATTCTAAAGAAGGCAAACCTGAGAGAAAGAAAACATAGATCCAGAGAAGACAAATGCAAAGTACAACATGAGATGTTGGAAATAAAATGTCAGCAATTATAAAACATGCAATGGTCTAAATGCTCAATCTAAGAGTGATTATCAGACTAGATTGAAAGTCAGAATTCACATTAGTTAGATAAATCTGCACATAACGACTTAGAAAGTTTTGATGTAATAGGATGAAAGAGAGATATTGATACTGCTGCTGCTGCTAAGTCGCTTCAGTCGTGTCCGACTCTGTGTGACC